TTAGGGAGAACTAGTACCGTTATTAAAAGGGATAGTATCATAAGGCTAGAGCCCAGGGGTTCAACTTAGCTAATACCAAGCTGTATCCTACCTTATCAATAGGGAGCCTACCTTATCAATAGGGATACAAGCCTTCTAATTAGCTAAACCCGTATAATTGCTTAGCCCGTACGCTCCAAGTGACTTACATAAAACCTTCTCTTAATTACACCCTTCTAATATAGTCCTTCCTTTTCCTCTTTATTAAATATAGTATTTTAATTATACGATTGTACGTTATACTTTTTTCGTATAGACCCATTATATTATATTTGACCCTCTTTTCAAATTAATACCGTTACCCTTCTCTCGTAGGCACGCCCAAAGAATCTCCCTCTCCGTACTACTCTCGTCTCTTTTAATAATACCGTCCCCCTTATTATTCTTATCTTTTTCCTTTAATAATAACCTCTCGCCGCCGCTTTTATCCCTTAATAATAGTACCCCTTCTTCTATATTTCTCGTATCGCTTCCCTTTCGCTAATACGCTAAAAGAGTCATTACTACTCTTACGATCCCTAGCGATATTCTTCTCGCTCGATTTACTCCGTTCGTTTGCGATTTACCTTAATTTTAACCACTACTACCCGGATTCCCATTCCTCTTAATAACAATACTAATTCTCCCCAAAATTTCGAACTTTTAAACTTTTACGTAAATAAATTCGCCTTTTACAATATAAATTTATCGCTTACCTTTCACTTACTATCTTTAATAATAATATTTTCTTTATCCTCTACCTCCACTAAGTATACCCGGTTAAAGACGCCAACGATCCCTCGATATTAATATTATTAAAAAAGCGCCAAACTTTACTTCAACAAGGAAATAGGAGAGGAAAGAAAGGATATAGTAGTAGAGGCTCTAATCTAAGGAACAATATTAATTATATAAAATAAAATCAATCTATTTTAATCTAGTAAGGACTTAAATAGTTACAACAATAATAACTAAGAAGAAGAGCTTTTAAACTAAGCAGTACCCTATTAAAGGCAACCCTAATAAAACTATAGCGGAGGGAACATTAATTAAAAGTTTAAAAAGAGGAGTCTCTAATAATTAAAAGAGGTAAAATTATAATATAGGAAATATTAACTTATTTAATATTAATAATATAGGAAGTCTTCAAACCGTACCCCTCTACGCGTAGCCAACTAAATACTAGAATTTATTATAATACGTAATCGTAGGAAGGCAGTAAATATCACATTTCGTAGGCATAAAAATTACTAAGGTCGTCCCTAACAAAGGAAGTATACTAAGAAGGTATAATTATAGTAGTAATAATAGCCGACTACTAGTAAGAGAAATGGAACGTTACAAAGTATTAAGTAATAGCCTTAATTCAATTATCTCCATTATAGATTATTAATATAATATAGTAAAAGAGGTTCCTTAATAGGCAAAATCTAGAAATATCCCCTAATTTAATCTTAATACCAAACTATAGCACAACTCTATAAGGGTAGGCAATAAGCGCATCGCTACCGATTCGGGTAGAAAGTAAGTAATCGTATAGCGTTTATTTAGGAGCTTACTATAAATATTTTTCTTAATATTATTAATTTTTTTCCTGTTTAAATAGGCTTTTAGTTAAGAACGGTTATTAATAGATTTCGTTACCTTTATATAATTAGTTATGTTTAATATTTTGTGCGGTGGACCGCCTTTTTTAAGAGGGAGTAGGAGGGTAATGTTATAGGGCTAGAGTCAAAGGGTTAAATTTAATTAATACTAAGCTGTATCCTACTTTATTAATAGGGAGCCCACCTTATCGATAGGGATGCGAGCCTTCTGGTTGGCTAGACCCGTATAATTGCCTAGCCCGTACGCTCCAAGCGACCTGCACAAAACCTTCTCCTGATTACACCCTTCTGGTGCAGTCCTTCCTTTTCCTCTTTGTTAAATATAACATTTCAACTATACGATTGTACGCTGTGCTTTTCTCGTGCAGACCCATTACAGATAGGAGTCCGGGTAGCAACGGCTAAGATCAAAATAAATCGCAAACGAATAGGGCAAATCGAGCGAAAAGAATATTACTAGGGATCGTAAGAGCGGCAAAGACTTTTTTAGCACGCTGGCGAAAGGGAGGCAATACAAAAGATATAGAAGAAGGAGTATTATCGCTAAAGGACGAGAGTAGTACGGAAAAGAAGACTCTTTAGGCGTACCTACAAGAGAATAGTAAATACAAAAGAATATTCAAAAAGAGGGTTAAATATAATATAATAGGTTTATAAGAATAAAGTATAGCGAATAGTCGTATAAAATTGAAATACTATATTTAATAAAGAAAGAAAGAGAGGAAAGATTGTACTAGAAGAGTGTAGTCAAAAGAAGGTTTTGTACAACCAATGCCAAGACCGCACGGGCTAAGCAAGCATGTGAGTCTAGCTAACCAGAAGGCTCGCATCCCTATCGATAAGGCAGGGACCCTATTGATAAGGCAGGACACGGCTTGGCAATAGCCAAGCTTAACCTCTGGGCTCTAGCCCCATGACAGCTTCAATTTAGTTTTAATATATAATTCGTAATATATTATATCCGGTCCCTTAAATCGTACGTTATACTTTTATTCTATTAATTTAATTCAAATTTCGGGTCCTAAGTAGCTAAATTAAAGATGCTAGCGAAGGGGCTTACCTTTTTAAGGCTTCCGTTTAATATAGTTAATATACCATATTATAAAAGAAGATTCGTTAATACTATTTTATAGAAGGATATATTCTAAAATAAATTTTTTATATTTAGAGAGGATAAAAGAAATAAAAGAATTCATAAAGTAAGAGTATAAGCAATTATTTTTATAATCCTAGTAAATTTATTTATTTTCGAATTATTTTAAGGAAACGATATTATAAATTATACCCGGTATTAGAACGACGTTAGGGAATTAGAATTCTTTATTTCCATTGTCGTTTTAAATTGTAATTATAATAATATTATACCCCTTTATAGGAATCCATTTATCTCCCGCCTATACGTAATTACTAATATTAAAAGGGGTAAAATTTTCGAAGGGATTAACTTTATTAAAAATATATATTATTATATTTAAATTAAAAATTATAGAATTTCTTAGTAGGTATATAGCGTTATATTTCGTTGTAAGTATTAAAAAATTGCTTTTATCTACCCGGCGACTATAGAATTAATTATTTTAGTCTTCGTTATTCTATTATATTTGTAGACGGTTAATAGCCTCCTTAAATATTTTATCCTTCTTTAAATTAGCGTACGCGCGCTTTTTAATAGTAAAAATTTCGATTTAACTTTAATAGGCTAATTATAACTTAGTATAGTAATACTTATTTAAATTATAGTCCGGCTACTTAAAAAATTTATACGGGGATTAATATAGTTGTTTATTCGTTAGTAAGGACGAGGAGGAAATACGCTTATTTTTATGAATATTCTTCCTAAATTTATTATTTTTACTTATAGCTTTTCTCTATCCCTTTACTTTTAGGCTAGGGTTTTATTCGTCGCTAAGAACGTCCTCCTTAGCGGGTTTATTACCTAACGTAGCTACGAATACAATACCTTTAAGTAAAGGGGCGCGACTCTTTCCCTAGGTGGTACTTGCTATTACTACTTTATAAAAGTCTTTAATTATAGTACGGAAAGAAATTTTGAAATTAAAATTTCTCTCTATCTTTTTATTATATTAGAATTGGTAATTATTTACCTAAGCAATATAAGGATTTGACCTTATAATTATATAGAATTTTAAGAATTATATGTTTAATTTATTTATTCTAACAATTCTTCTAATAATATAGAAGGCTATAGCCGCTTCCTAATAAAAGGTTTAATTATACTAATTATAATTAGTTCTATTAAAGATCTTAAAAATATTAATAAATTTAATCCGAGTAAACTTCTTTATTTTATAGTCGTTAAAAGCGGTAGACTTACTAAAATTATCGTATTATTTATATAAATTATACATTTAATAAAGTTAGTCTCCTGGTAATTATTTCCAACGGTTTTAAATATCTAATAATTTAACGTAATCTTTTTAATACTTAAATTAGAGAAGGTTTTAACTTTTATACGCTAGTCCGACTTCTTAATTATATAATTATAATAATTGCGCTTATAATAGAAATTATAAAATTTAGCGGTAGTAAATAGGGTAGCCTCCCTATCCTTCTTAACTTCTTTAATTTTTCTAGCGGGAACTTCCCTTTAGTAGTTAGCGATATTAGATTCTATTAGTTCGGTTGGCTAGGGAATGCGGTTATTTAGGTCAATATACTTCTAGAAACCTAGGTCCTAAGCTATAAAAATAAAGGCATCTTCCTAGGCTGGCTAATCCCTAGGGCTATTGAAGGCAACGCTATTAATTTTAATCATAGATATTATTAGTAATCGTTTTATCGGTTATTGTTATTACCGATAATTTTAATGGTCGAATTAATATAATTCTTAATTGTTATATTATTAGTAATAATCGATATAGGTTTAATATGGTTTGACTGTGTGTATTTGTGTAAGATTGGCTCTGTAGACTTGAAGTTCTTGTATTTGGGTAAAAATCCCGCATATCCCAGTCCAGCTGGGCACGTGCACGCCTAGTGGATCCCCTGGCCTCTGACAAGACTCGACCATGAAGCCGAGAAAGTCGGACCCACCAGCCACTCCACTTTCCAGCCGGGTGCAGTGGGGTTTGTCAGCCGCATTCAGCCCAATAAGGAAGGCGGTGGGATTTCATTACAGGGGGTGTTGAAGTGCTGGACAGGGGATCGGCCTTCTGAATGATGACATGAACACAAACAAACAGCTGATTGCACGTGTCGCCAGCAACAATATAGCCATCGTATCTTGCCCAATACAACAACTTGGGCTTTCTCCAAAGAAACCTGGAAGAAACTACCACAGCATCGGCAGAGACCAAACCTCATCTACTACGACCGAATACCCGCTCGAAAAATCACCAAACTTGTAGCGGCAGCATGAGAGCTGAAATCGCCGTGCCCGCGATTGCGGCGCTCTGTTACAGAGCTCACTCCAAGAAGTCGTTGACACCCGGCGGCATCTTTGCTGCTTTCCTCACGGCCGTCGCCCACGCGGTCCATCCTTGGAATCTTCCATTTGCTCTGCTCGTCGTGTTCTTCCTCGCAGGAACGCGGGTAACCCATGTAAGTCTGGAGCTACCTAGACTCAAAGACAGCACATACGGCCGTGGACAACACCACTAACAGCGACATCTTTCTCCGCCTAGGTCAAGGAAAATGTCAAGGCAAAGCTCACAGTACACTCGAAGGGCACGTCCGGCGGCGAAGGCCCGCGAAACCACATCCAAGTGTTTGCCAACTCGCTCACGGCTTCCATCTTCTCTCTGCTCCACGCCTATCAGCTCCACGTGCGCAAACAGGCGCTGATCGCCAATCCCACCAGCACCGGGACCGGCAGCCTTTGCTTCTCCTGGGGCGGAGATCTGCTGGTGATTGGTATCATTGCCAACTATGCTTGCGTCGCGGCCGACACCTTCAGCTCCGAGCTGGGCATCCTGTCCAAGGGCGAGCCGCGCCTGATCACAAGCTGGAACTTGCGCAAGGTACCGCGCGGCACCAACGGCGGCGTCTCCCTCGTCGGTCTCGGCGCTGGCCTGCTGGGCAGCATGATCATCGTCACCGCGTCGATGCTTCTTCTGCCTCTTTGCACTGACGAGACGGCTATGAGACTTGGCGGTGCCGCGGGCTGGTCACTGGGACAGCGCCGTATGCTTATTCTCGGCCTCACAGTTTGGGGTTTCTTGGGTAGCGTCGTGGACAGCATTCTGGGTGGGCTCTTCCAGGCCAGTGTCAAGGATGTGCGTACGGGCAAGATTGTCGAGGGCGAGGGTGGCGTGAGGGTACTGGTTTCGAACGCTACGAACCCCAACAGTGTTGCCGGTCGTACCAAGGCCGAGATCAAGGCGTCTCTTCTCTCCGGCGAAGGGGCGGATGCGGTGGAAGACGTTGGCGCCGCAGGAAAGGCCAGTGGTAAGGGCGCGGCTTCCGGTAACAAATATGATCCGCGTAACAAGCAGCGGAGGTCGAGCTTTGGAGATGAGAGGCCGTCGCGAGTGGTGGAGAACGGCTGGGACCTGCTTGATAACAACGATGTCAACTTCTTGATGGCATTTGGCATGAGCGTGGGAGCGATGGCGGTCGCATCGTGGTATTGGGGAGTTCCTCTGCAGTCTGTGTTGCCGCCATGGTGGGCGTAAGGTAGTCGCAGGTGGGTGGTGGGTGACTTTCTAGAGAGATATTGGATGTACCTAGGTAAATAATGACATATGAGAGTTGTCATTTTGATCGCAACACACAGACCGCGACTTGTGGTGAAGCTTGGGCGGGTACTATCCGGATGATACTACGTAACCAAAAGCCGGCGCGATTGCCCATCGAGGTTCTCATTGCACCGAACATCCACACTTCAAGGCCATCGATCCGTACATGGGATCGAAGACCAGCCCGGGGCTTACACCCCTTTGTAGTTTGCACACGAGCACATGGTACAAAGTCTTTGTGACTGTTACTTGATACCTGTTTCGGCAATGATGGTGTGTGGTAAACACGTGAACACAAGGCTTTCGTCGGCCTTCCATTTGGGACAATGGTCCTGTGACCAAGCCGGGTGACCGGGCGCAGGCGGTAAACACTAACAGTTGGCGGACAGTTGGCTCGGAGGCCCTGAAGCTCTAGCGACGGCCCCCAGCCCCGTTGTAGGCCGCTCTCCGAAGCGCTCTGACCCCGCGGTTCCGCCGTATGTCGTCCCTGCATCCTTCCATTAACATTTCCTCCACTAATTCCCCCATTTTCCACCCCAGATCCCCGCCGACTCCTTCCACCCCGTTTTCCATCTCCATCTCTTCTCGTGTTGCCCCGCTTGCTCGCTTGTCCACTTGCTAACAGCTCCAACAAGGTGGAATTGATTGCCCGCTGCCGTCCACAGCGATTGCTGATTCTTGTCGGCTGACAACCGAACACTGACCGAATGCGCCTCTGATACATGATGTTCTCCTGAACAAGCAAGGCGGTACCTTACATCGACCGACGCTACCACGACCCCAACTTTACACAGACAGCCTACCGAGCCTTGACGTAGCTTCATTAGCTCGACCTTTGCGTCTGTTCGCTACCGCTCCCAGGATTCAATCGAGGGACCGTCGCGGCCTGGACCTCCGTTCCTCCATCCCTCATCGTCTTCGAGTTCCTAGGTCACACCACCCTTCGGTCGCTCCACCAGTCCTTCGGACGACATCTCGTCAGACAAACGAACGACCTTCCATCCGCGATCCAGTGCCGTTGCGTTGCAAGCCCCTCCGCCCGCCATGGCACAGGCCTACGATGACGAGGAGCTTTCCATCTCCTTGTCCCCTTCTCAGATCCGAAGTCGCAACAAGCGATCCGGCGATGGCGCATCAGGTTTCGGCCCCAGCACTGGCAACCTCCATGAATACGGTCAACACGGCCAGCAACTACATCCTAATATCAACGCCGTCATGGCCGACGCACCCCTCCGCGATAAGATGCGCACCGAGCAGCGCATCGGTGCTTATAACATTGTCAAGACGCTCGGCGAAGGCAGCTTCGGCAAGGTCAAGCTGGCTGTGCATCGCAGCACCGGCCAGCAGGTTGCCCTTAAGATCATTGCCCGCAAGAAGCTCATCAGCCGCGACATGCAAGGCCGCGTAGAGCGCGAGATTGAGTATCTGCAATTGCTGAGACATCCTCATATCATCAAGCTGTAAGCTGTCCCTCGACGCCCCTGCGCAGACATTTGGCTTTATTACTTCTATACGCAATGGCTAACCCGGCGCGCATACCAGGTACACGGTTATCAAGACCCCAACCGAGATCATCATGGTGCTAGAGTTTGCCGGCGGCGAATTGTTCGATTATATTGTTCAACATGGAAAGATGAAGGAGGATGAAGCCCGCCGCTTCTTTCAGCAGATGCTATGCGCCGTCGAATACTGTCATCGTCACAAGATTGTCCATCGCGACTTAAAGCCCGAGAACCTCTTGCTGGACGAGAATCTCAATGTCAAAATCGCTGATTTCGGTCTTAGCAACATCATGACCGATGGTAATTTCCTAAAGACCAGCTGCGGCTCTCCCAACTATGCGGCTCCCGAGGTCATTGGCGGCAAGCTCTATGCAGGACCCGAAGTCGATGTCTGGAGTTGCGGTGTCATTCTTTACGTCCTACTTGTCGGACGGCTCCCCTTCGACGACGAGCATATTCCCAGTCTCTTCGCCAAGATTGCACGTGGAAGCTACATGGTGCCGACCTGGATGAGTCCCGGCGCGGCGTCACTAATCAAGAAGATGTTGGTCGTCAACCCTGTTCAACGTGCCACCATTGACGAAATTCGCCAGGACCCATGGTTCCTTAAGGATCTGCCAGCTTACCTTCACCCTCCTGTCGAGGAATTCCTCAACACTGGCGTGGATCCGAACAAGGCCATCAAGGTCAGCGATATCGCGCCAAATGCGCCACCTCAGGAACAGGAGAAGCTACATAACGAGGTTACAGAAAAGATCAGTAAAACCATGGGCTACGGCAAGAGAGATGTCGAAGAGGCCTTGGAGGCCGACGAACCCTCAGCCATCAAAGATGCCTACATGATCGTGCGTGAGAACAAGCTGATGCAGAGTAACCGTGAGTCTACGCTCCCTCCCAGCAAATCTTTTGTCTTCTCATCTTTGGAACCTATCGATCCCTTTGCGATGCTTTACTCGTCCGTCTTGTCCTTCTTTCGCGGTTGATTTAGCCATGTCCCATTCTCGTTTGGCGTCATTTCATACTTGCCTAGTGGTGAACATCACCTAACGCCAAGAAGCAATCCCTTGAGTTTGCGAGCATCGTCCTTTTTGGAGCAATACCACGTCAGGAATTCCAGGACAACTACTAAAAACCGATGAAGAACTCCCAGGCCTCACGACAGAAGAGTCTGTCCCGAGTCCGCTCCTTGACCCGAATATGTCATCAGCTCGCTCTATCGCATCCGTTAGCACAGGAACTTCACCGAGACCATATGTCAGCAAGATCGGTATTTTGCCTAGCAGTCTTCCTACCTATCACAGGGTCTTTATGGAGCGTGAGAAGGCCAAGGCCGAAGGTCTTGAGCCCCCTGATGCCATCCCCACCATCGTTGAGCCGGCAAATCAGCCGCGCAGCCAAGCCGAACAAGAAGAGACCATCCGAAGACTCAAGCCACATTCGAGAAGTCAACTTCGTCTTGACGAGGCCAACAAGCGCCCACAAGGACTTACCCCCGTCAACCCGCCCAAGAAGAACAAGCCTGCCCGATGGCAATTTGGTATTCGATCCAGGAACGCTCCTTGGGAAGCGCTGGTGTGCATTTACAAGGCTTTAAATAAGCTTGGTGCCGGATGGATTGTCGATGAAGACTACGAAAGAGCCCACCGGGACGATGACGATACTGATGACTACGATGGACCTACTATCGGGCGCAGGAAGTCAACATCTAACATGGATCCCACCAAGATCTACAGACTTCCTGCGGACCCCTGGCACATCAAGATTCGGTGGACAACCGACAGTGAGTTTGCAGTCTGTCCGTCATACATGATGAAGCTTGACTAACATGGTTGCCAGAACTCAAAAAGCATTCGATCGCCTCGGGTCTCAGCGAAGCAGGAGAAAACATGCATGTTACCCGGGACGGCGGCGACAGCAAGTACCAGGTTGTGGCCATGCGCATGGAGATTCAGATCTACGAAATGGAGCACGGTGTCTACCTTGTCGACTTCAAAGTCGACGGCTACGAGACCCCTGATGGAAAGCTTCTTGAGGATAAGGAAGTGACGAGCCCCTTCCCCTTCCTTGACATGGCGGCCAAGCTCATCATGCAGTTGGCAGACGCAGATTGAGATGCCCCAACAATTAATTAATGGCTTGCGGTTGCTACATTCATGCCTTTGTTTTTGTTTCACTGATTCCGGGCCTTCAATTCTGGCTAATGGGTTGCTGATGCCTTTGTACCCTTTGCACATACTTACCGCAGTCTATACTGTTGGACACCATCACCCGGCATGACTAATGCTCCTTGACTTGTTGAACAGGAGAAAACAATCGCTGGATGGGTCGAGAAGACCATTTGTACATGGAACTAACTCGCCATACAAGACGCTTCAACACCAGATTATGGGATTGGGCGTCTCCATTCCTGCTTATACCCTGTCTCATATTGCGCCACCAGAATTTCGATGGTCGGGTTTGCTATTCCTGGACTGGCTTTGGAGCTAGAGTTCAGAGACCCGTCCTTCGTTGAGGAAGATAGGGCATCACACATATGTTCAGTTGGGTTGGCTTCTTTCGATGCATCTACACATGTTGCGGTTACCTTGGAAGCGTGTTAGAGACACATCAGACAGCCTGTCAAAATGTTGACAGCTGTCATTGGAATGATCAAGCTATGGTGGCTAAACGTTATTTCGGATACCCATTGGGAGGAGATAGAATTGAATCTGTTCATGGAAAGACAGTCGCTTGTGGTCATCTTGGAGGAAAACTAGACATGAGCAAAAAACCACTGTGGTACTACTCCCCAACAAGCCGTCCAAGTAACACATGACGCATATCTTGTGATACCATTCAGTTCGTGAGGTTGCCCCCCAACTTGTTCGCTTTGACCCCCGTCTTATCCCAAGTCATGGTTTCTGTTCTCTTTGTTCATCCCACTTGAAGCGACGCCATCACCAAGTCATAACCTCCCCCCACGTTTACTCTCATCAGCAGATCTGAGAAACAACCACGAGCTTCCGTTTCCTTTTTTCCATTCCGGCGTTTTTTGTTGTCGGTTTTCTCGTTCGATTTTCCTTGGAGTCCGAATGCAGTCAGGCTTCTGCATCCAGGCCGAACCATCTCCCCTGGTCTGTTCCTCTTGTCCATTAGGAACTACTTTTGCATATTCGTTCCCTTACCCTGCGGTTGATGGCTGATATATAACATAACTCCAATTCTACCGCCACCAATTACAGAGCAGCAAGTTAATAACTTTTTGATTGATCGTATTTGACCGCGGTTACCCGGTAGTCGCATTCCTGGCCTTTTTGCTGGCTTTATTTGGCGATAAGTAGCGAAGTCTATCTGGACCGTCTGGACGTGAAACTGCAATGGGTAAATGCATAGGCAACATGCACAACTGGCATTGACATAAGGCGACTGTCATAAGTCGAGTCCGAAGCTCTCTGATATGTTCGGACTGAATTGGTGGTCTTCCATCCAGATTCGGCATCGAAAATTACCTCTAGGAACAAAGAAAGTCAACCACATCACGTTGGTTCCCCACGCTGACGATGGTTCTCCTCCAAAATCCCCCCACCTTTCGCGTACCAAGCGCTCCAATCTCTTCATCCGGATCCAGGTACCACAATGATTCCTGTCAGAGAACGGAAGGTGATACCAAGGTGGTGGTCTTGCCGATCAACCTCAACTTGGTAGCATCGGCAGGCGCGGCCGACAGCTAAAGGACACAAAGAAACCAAGCTCGGCACTCAACCGAAGAGGGGAAGACAGGAAGGAAGGTTCGGCTGTTGAAGAATTGCCTATCTTCGCCTACCCACTCAAAGCAGAACTGGCGAAGAACCTGTTTCGAAATCGCGGGGTAACAAAGAAAATGGAAGGAACTGAACTGGAAAGCTCATCAGCTCCCCAGATCATCTGTTCCGTCCTAGGTTCCATTAGAAACGGTAGCAATTCCCGTCGATCCTATCACCCCCCAAAGCGCCGTAGTGTCGTAGTACTACCAGACTTCGGAGAGAGCAAGATTATGGTTCGGTGCAATGTTTCGACCAGCATATGTCATGTAACCTGTGATGTAGTAGTACGCGTGGAGGGCATACTGCGTGGGAATCAGTCACTTGAAGGGTGAGGGGTAAGTGGAGGTTGGGAAGGGGGAGAAGGAGATAAGTCATGGGGTTTAAAAGATCGTGGTTCTCCTCCTGGTTTATTCCTTGCTTGAACCACGGCATTCTAAGCTTCTACCCCAGATTTTTACCCCAGATTTTGCCAGGATTCCTCTACCGTTCTGGGCTGGGATGCAACGATCTCCAAGCTCGGTTAGGTACTAGCTCAACTTCTTTATTGTATGGTCAAGGGTCCCAATACACGAAGACGACGGAACGAGTATATAAACCAGTCTTGCTGCCGCTTTGTTGAAAGAAATAGGACCTCACCGTCCATCCGCTTCCCAAAGTTTCACGGTTCAGGAACCATATATCTATCCTCAACCCAATATGACAGAACCAACAGCGCATCCCAAGGCCAACAGGTCTTCATCACCATCACTCGGCGATAGTGCCAAGGTTGTGGACATCGAGAACGTTGAACATGCCAAAACCTCTTCCTCCCATGACCACCCTGATCATCACCATGGCCAGAGAGCCGCTCTCCAACCACCTCCTTGGATCGCGGCCTTAAGCCCAGAGGAGCGCCATAGTTTGGAGAAGAAGTTGAAGAGAAAGATTGACTTGAGGTTGATGCCGGCTATTATTATTATGTATATCTTGAATTACATTGATCGGTACGTTAATATTCTTTTCAGGGGTCAATGGGTATTCTGAGATATCCTGAGAGGATGGCAGTTAGAAAAAGATGACGGGGAAAGCACCAAAAGGGAAAAAGAAAACAGTAGTCACTCACACTTACATCGCATAAACAGAAACAACATCGCCGCCGCCAAACTCGCCAACCTCGAGCGCGACCTCAACCTCTCCTCGGTCGAGTACCAAACCTCCGTCAGCATCCTCTTCGTCGGCTACCTCCTGATGCAAATCCCTTCCAATTTGTTTCTTAACAAGCTCGGAAAACCCGCCATTTATCTTCCATGTTGCGTAAGTCACACTCTCCCCCCCCTCTATTCCTTCTCTTATAAAAATGTCCCGCCATCACTAACTCACACCTCTTTCCTTTAACAGATGATAATCTGGGGCACCATCTCCGCCGCCACCTCCGCCTGCACCTCCGCCGCCGGCCTCTACGCCGTCCGTTTTTTCCTCGGCTTCGTCGAAGCCGCCTATTTCCCGGGTTGCCTGTACTACCTCTCCTGCTGGTACACGCGCTCCGAGCTCGGCTTGCGTACCGCCATTTTATACTCGGGCGCTCTTATCTCGGGCGCCTTTTCCGGTCTCATCTCAGCGGGCGTGGTAAGCGGGCTAGATGGAGCAAAGGGGTATAGTGCCTGGCAATGGCTGTTCATCATTGAAGGAGCGGCGACGATTGTCATCGCTTTTGCGTGTTTCTTTGTGCTGCCGAATTTCCCGCGGACGACGAGCTGGTTGACGGAGGAAGAGAGGACGTTGGCGGTTTGGAGGTTAGAAGAGGATGTCGGGGTTGATGATTGGGTGGGACGGAAGCAACAGACTTTTTGGCAGGGGGCGAAGATGGCGTTTGTGGATTTTAGGACTTATGTTTTGGTGAGTTTTTTCCTTTTTCTTTTTTTCTTGCGAACTTCAAGTGACGAAGAGAGAGTAAACTGACATGGATTTACAACAAACAGATGGTCCTCCTCTTCTGCATCGTCGCCTCCGGCACCGTCACCAACTTCTTCCCCACCGTCGTCAACACGTTGGGGTACAACCGGATTCACTCCCTGCTCCTCACCGCGCCGCCCTACGTTTTGGCTGTCATCGTCACCTTCGCCAACGCCTGGCACGCCGACAAGACGGGCGAGCGATACTTCCACATCGCGATTCCAATGTGCGTCGCCATCGTGGCGTACATCATCGCCGCGGCGACGACCCATGTCGCGCCGCGCTATCTGAGCATGATGCTCATGGTCCCCTCGGTCTACTCCGGCTTCGTTGTGGCGCTGGCGTGGATCTCGAATACCATGCCCCGACCGCCGGCGAAGAGAGCGGCTGCGCTGGCGTTTATCAATGCCGTCAGTAATTGCAGTAGTATCTATGCTAGCTACTTGTACCCGAATAGCGCGGCACCGCATTATACGGTGGCTATGGTGGTGAACTGTGTAACGGCGTTCATTGCGGTGTGTGCTGCGACGGTGATGAGGATTATTTTGTCGAGGCAGAATAAGAAGCTGGCGAGGGGGGAGTGGGTGGAGGGAGCTATTAATGTTGAGGGGTTTAGGTTTAAGCTTTGAGGGTGTTCTTACCTGGTGGTTGTTTCATGGCGTTTGAGGCTTTCTTTTTTTTTTTCCCGGCACAGACGGGATGTTGCAGATTATGTTCATTTTGGTCTGATATACCAAGAAAGAGTAAACTCCCGCTAAGCGCTTACATCTTCTTTCTTTACTTCATCAGCCATATCCTTCCAGGCATTAAATCAAGCCTGCAGCGCCAAATCCATCCTCGCCCCATGACTTCCCATCTTCCACGTGCCCATCGGGTCCCGCGTCTCATCCACCTCCCTCTCCTCACCACTCTTTCCCCATCCACCACCACCAGGCGTGCAAATAATGATTCTATCCCCAGCAATCATCGGGGCGCTATTCTTAGCTCCCAAGTTAATCACTCTCTCTTCATAACCCTCGGCCTCATCCCCCACCACCTCCTCCTGATCCTGCTCCCCATTCTGGATCTTGCGCAACGTATCCTCCCACCTCGCCTTCTTCACCTTCCTCACCCACAGATTCAACCCGCACTGCGCATCCTCGCCGCCCGCCAGACCATACGGTCTGTACACTCTTCTCTCCGAAAGGATGCTCACCTGCAGCGGAAGTCGGAACTCGATATCCCGCACCACGCCGTCACCGCCGCGGTGCTTCCCCTTTCCTCCCGACCCCTTCCGGATGGAAAACTCGCGCAGCAAAACGGGGTAACGGCGCTCGAAAATCTCCGAGTCCGTAATCCGCGTGTTCGTCATATGCACGTGCACACCATCCGTTCCCTCCCAGGTCGGACCGGCACCCGAGCCGCCGGCAATGGTCTCGTAGTATCCAAAGCCCTTGACCTCCTTCTCGCCCGCGACGTTGCCGCCGAACCCGAAGGTGAGATTGTTGCAGCACCCCTGCGAGGCGGCGGCGGCCTGGAAGGCCTTGAAGATGACGTCCGTGATGCGCTGCGAGGTGAGCACATTGCCGCCCACCACAGCGGCGTTGTCCGAGGGGGACAGCAGAGACTTGGGCGGGATCTTGACGGTCACGGGCACCAGACAGCCCTGGTTCAGCGGGATGTCCTCCGAGATCATGCAGCGGAGGGTGTAGATGATGGCCGAGTACGAGATGGCTTCGGGCGCGTTGATGTTGGCGTACACTTCCGGGCCGGTGCCGGCGAAGTCGAAGACGGCTTCGCCTGCGTCCGGGTCGATGGTCACCTTGAGCTGGATCGGGCTGCCGTCGTCCATGTAGTCGATGGCGGAGAGTTCCTGGCCTTGGAAGCGCTTGTGGACGGTGCGCAGGAGGTTGCGGACTTGTTGCTCGGCGTTGTTCTGGATGGCGACCATGTAGAACTGCACCGTGTCTTCGCCGTATTCGGCGATCAGGGTCTCGATGAGGGAGATGCCCTTTTGGTTGGCCGAGACTTGGGCGCGCAGGTCGTTGATGTTGTCGGCGAGACAGCGAGTGCCGCTGCAGCCGGGGTACTTGGCGGGTTCCTTGTGGAAGAGCTCGATGACACGGTCTTCGTTGAACTTGCCCTCCGAGACCAGCTTCTCGCTCTTGACGGCGGCGCCTTCCTGGTAGAGCTCGCGGGAGTGGGGAGGCATGCTGCCGGCGGTGATACCGCCAATGTCGGCGTGGTGAGCACGCGAGGCGGCGTAGAAGAGAACCTTATCGCCGGCTTGGTTGAAGGCAGGCATGATTAGGGTGACGTCGGGAAGGTGAGTTCCGCCATATGAAGGGTGGTTAGTCATGAGGACATCGCCCTTGCGTAGCTTACCCTTCCAAATTTCTGCTTGGCGGCGAACACAGGTGGACATGGAGCCTAGAGATTATCAGTGAGAAACATCCAGGAAAGAAAAGATCAGGCAACTCACCCAAGTGGACGGGCAAATGAGGAGCGTTGGCAACGAGACCACCGTTAGCATCAAAGATGGCGCACGAAAAGTCAAGACGCTCCTTGACGTTAGTGCTGACACTGGTCTTCTGAAGAGCCATGCCCATCTGCTCAGCAATAGCCATAAACCTATGGCCAAAGATACTAAGCATGATAGGATCAACCTCGCGCTCACCATCGCCCTTCTCATCCTTGCTCTTGTCCGTCTCCTCACTATCAACCACGACATGAGTCTCCAGCACTAGCGCAGTGCTCTTGGGCGGGACCACAATAGTCTGCGTTCCATCAGCCAGCATGGCCGGGCCCTTGATCACAGTGCCCACACTCAGATCGCTAAGCTTGTAGATGGGCGTATCCATGCGTCCACCCTCAAAGTACACCTTGGCCTCGCTGTGCTTGTTCGCAACATTCACATCCTTCTTTTGCACCGTCTTGAGCTGCTCGTCCACGCTCTTCTCCTCGTAACGGAAGCTCTTGCCAATGCCTCTGACACGGACATCATCAACCACAATGTCGCGCTCCTCCAGCGTGAAGCCGAACTCATATCTGTGGTGGCGCACAAACGCGCTGGCAAAGTCCCAGTCGCTGCCGTTGTAGTGCTTCTCAGCGTCCTCGGCAGTCGGCTTGATGATCATCAGCGCCGACTCAGTTCCGCGATAGCGCATGTTAAGGTACTCCTCGAACACGATCTGGTCGTCCTCGAAGCCCTGGTCCCGCAGAGCCTGGCGGGACTTTTCCTTGAGAGCCTCCATCTTGTCCTTGAGCCCCTGGATGACGGACTGATCGTCGACCTTCCAGACAGAGGAGTCAGGCTCCTGGCGCTCATCGACAACATCGGCCAAAGCCATGCCGTAAGCCGACAAGACGGAGGAATATCGGTGGATGAGGATCTGCTTGATGCCCAATGACTCAGCAATAGCTACAGCATGCTGACCACCGGCACCACCAAAGGTAGCAAGACGGTGCTTGGAAGTATCGTGACCCTTGGCCTCAGTGATACTCCTGATCGGCCGGGTCATGGTTTCATTAGCCACAGTCAGGAACCCGTAAGCGACCTCATCAAGATCCATCTCCTTGCCCGTCTCAGCCTTGATCTGGTCCGCCAGCTTCTGGATCTTGATCCTACTAGCCTCCGGGTCCAAACCCTCATCCTCGTTCTTGCCAAAGATCTTGGGGAAGAACTCGGGCAGGAGTCTCCCCAGGAACAAGTTCGCATCAGTAACGGTCGCCGGGCCGCCCTTGCGATAGCACGCAGGACCGGGGTGAGCGCTGGCCGACTCCGGGCCGACGACGAACAGGCCGTTGCGGAAGAAGAGCATGGAACCGCCGCCGGCAGCAACGGTGTTGATGTCCAGCTGGGGCGACTGGATGGTCACGCCGGCCGTGGTGGTCTCAAAGGTGTGGTCGTACCGGCCCTCGCCGTAGCGGGACACGTCCGTGCTGGTGCCGCCCATGTCGAAGCCGATGACGGGGATCTTGGTGTTCTCGTCGTACGAGGTGATGGCGTAGCCGACCACGCCGCCGGCCGGGCCGGACAGGATGGCCTTGAGACCGGTGAACTTGTCGACGTCAACGAGACCACCGTCGGATTGCATGAACTCGCAGCGAGCACCTTTACCGGCTTCTCCTCCCGACTCCTTGACGCCCTTAGTGCCCAGACCACCGGCAAAGCCCTTTTGAAAACCGGAGATGTACTTCTTGATGGCGGGTGTGAGGTAGGCGTCTGCGCAAACCGAAGTGGCGCGCGAGACGAGCTTGATCATGGGCATGAGCTCGTGGCTGAGGGAGATGTGGGTGAAGCCGATCTCGCGGGCGACTTCGCCGACGAGAGCCTCGTGGTCGGGGAAGGTGTAGGCCATCATCAGGCATACTGCTATGCTCCTGATGCCGCTGTCGTAGATCTCCTGGAGCTTGGCGCGGATGGTCTCCTTCTCTGGCCGCTGAAGAATCCGGACGGCTTCTCCTGATAGACCCATGACGAGGTCGGCGTCCTTGGCTTCGGCGGTCCCAGCCTTGACGTCCACCTTGGTGATATGGCGTTCTGGATCCTCGGCGTAGTCTTCCAGCGTAACACGCTCATCCACTTCCACGACGGTTGAGTATAGCACCTCGGGCTTGCGGATAGCCAGGTCGAAGATCTTGGGCCTCGACTGGTTGCCGATGACGAGACAGTCCTTGAAGCCCTTGGTAACAACCATGGCAATCTTCTCGCCCTTTCTTTCCAGGAGGGCGTTAGTGGCGACTGTTGTGCCCATGCGGATGGAATCGATGTTGGCCGTGTCTAATGGCTGTCCACGGGGAATCTCCTTCTTGAGGAAGTGCGACATGATGCGCCGGATACCCTCGAGGGGCGCATCATCGTAGTTGGCTGGGTCGACTGAGAGAAGCTTGATGACAATGTCCTCGCCGTTATAGTTGCCGACGCAGTCTGTGAAGGTGCCGCCTCTGTCGATGGCGATGCGCACGCCGCGGTCTTTTTGTGAGGAGCCCATGATGACTGGCGTCTTTGTGTATCTGATGAAGAGGGCTTATGTGATGTGGTTAAGCTGAAGTGAGTGATGGGCCTATCTCTCTTCAACAACGGTATCTTCCTCTCTTTTTATACTCGGAGTCTTTCGGTCTCATACAATAACTGAGAGAAGGAACTGAACAATCGTGAGTCAGTATCCAGCGTTGGTGTAAAGAGAGGGTGAGTAGGTCGTCGACGTCGTGATCGTCATCAAGTTCAAGTCCAAAGAGAGTGAAAAGAGGCAATTAGATGTTACCTCTAGAGACTTACTGCAGAGTTCAAACATGCATAACCCAATCACCGCTAGCTGCCTTGTAGGACAATTGCTTACAGAGGAGTGGAAAAGGCACTTCTGGCGATGTATAGGCTGACAACTACCTGCTCTTTGGAGAGTAGTGGTCCCGAAAAAGGAATGCACCCCGGAGCTGTATCGGCCTCTCGGAGACGGCGGGCAACGGAAACCAACCCCACATTTGTCATGACTTTACCCCGCAGCAGCGCCGCATCGTTAACGTCCTTCGTCGTCCTCCTATCATCTCTCGGGCATCTCAACCGTCGACAATATCGATGTCGTTTCCATCACCAATCTGCCGGGGATTTACGGAACGGCTTTAAGAGGAGTTGAAAAGGGTAGCATTGCGAAGGGGTCGTTTCCGCTTGGGCTCGGTACTTAAGGCTCCCCTTCTGCCACAGTGACTCTGACAAAAAAGATTAAGTCAGCGCTACTATCTGGATGGTGGACCCCAATGATAGGCACCCAGATAAAGTAGACGTTGATAACTTGATATTACAAACACCTCAGCCAAGGCTCTCAGGGCAGACAGAACCTTACATCCGAAACCATGCATCCTTTTCTATATACTATCATGTTGTTTATTCTATACACAAGCCATCCATATCCATATCAACCGGGCAACGGCGTGAACCATGATTGACATTTGTAGACCAAACAACCCAGGAAAGTCATTATCATAATTAGTCCATACGTACCATCAATGAGAGGTAACTGAACGATACCTTTTACCTATACCATACCAAGAGAAACCGAGACAAGAATGGCGGCCGCCGCTTCTAGAACCGGATAGACCCGGCAGTCCCATCAGTCACCAGGCTTCTTACAAATCAACCAGCAAAACCAACCAGGAACAAACCCAACCCACCAAAACAAACACCAACACTATGCAATGCAAGCATGAACCATGCCATCACACCATCTACCCTGACCCTTTCCTACCCTTTGCTATCCATGCTTAACCTTCCATCCCAACATCAGTCATCCCCATTCCAGCCGTCATCGGATTCGGCAGCGGCGGCATAGGAGGAGGCACATTAACACTCCCCTGAAGCAAACTCTGCAGTTCCCACGGGTTCAGCGTGCTCCTCCTCCTGGTCGCCGTCCTGCTCGTCCTCATCTTCTCCCTCTTGCGCTTCTGCACATGCAACTTCTCCATTCCCATGCCATAGTGGTTGTTTTCCGGTCCGGCGAGTTCGTCTACCTCTTCATCTTCTTGTTCAAAGTCGAAGAGCTCCGCCTCCTCTTCGCGGGCCGCTCTGCTTGCTGTTTTGGGGGTTTTGGATTGTCTACCGGATTGTCTGCCGGATTGTCTGCCGGGTGTGGCGGCGCGGCGACGTGAGACGATTAGTTCGTTTTCATCGTTGTTGTCGTCGTCGCAGTCCATGGGGGTTGCGCGGCCGCCGTTGTTGTTTTGGTTTTCGTCGGGCTGGGTCTGGTCCTGGTTCTGGCTTTGGCTTTGGCCCTTGCTTTGTCTCTGGCTGGCGCCATTGGCGGACCGCTGGGATTGAGAAGGACCCACGCTGTCCTGCTTGGACCTCTTCATGGCCTTCAGCTTGGCCCTCACCCGAGCTGCGTCAGCCTCTCGTTCGGAAGCGGCTAGCTTTGCGGCGATGGTGGCCACGTTGAGTGGACTCTGTTGTGCCGCCTGGAGGGCAGCGGTGTTAACGAGCCCTGTCCGAGGCAGTGGGAGACGGGAGTTGCCGGTCCGCTTGGGCGAGCGGTTGGGGTTGATGGGTGATTGGGAGATGGCGCCGCCGCCGCTGCGGTTTGGGCTGTCAGTTGAGCTGCCGTTCTCGCTGTTGTTGGCGGTGGCTAGGCCCTTGGTGAGCCGTGGTGATGGTGCTAGCTTGGGCGACTGGGCGAGGAGTGTGGCTTCCCTTGTCTTGGTAAGCCCGTTGGAGGTGGTAGGTCGGGAGTTACTGCTTGCTGCCTCCCTCTCCCTTCCGGGAGTGCCAGGGCCGCTAGCGGTGGAATAGGTCGTCTTCTCCGAGTTGGTTCTCCTATGACCGGGGACGAACTTGGGACCCGTCTTGCTCTCGGTCTCCTTACCTTTACCGGATGATGTGAGTGATCGGGTTTGGCTCTTGGTTCTTGTGCCTGTTGCTGCATTGGAGGGTGCAGCACGTGTGATAGGTGGTCTAGACCTATCAGTGGCCGGTTTCCTCGCGGCTGCTGTCTGTGTTCTTCCAGTCCCACCAGATGTAGCGGCTTCCTCACGGGCTCGCGACCTGGTCACAGGGGCAGCAGGAGCAGCAGCTTCGCGATCAGACTCAGCCGTGCGTGTACGTGAACGTGTCCTCGCGGTGGGGCCAGTCGCTGACGTCGTCGTTGTGACTGTCCCTGGTCGCTTCCTTGCTGCACTTGCCGCTTTGGGTCCTGATGTCTCCGCCTTGACCAGCTTGATGCCGCCGGCAGATGTAGTAGATGGTGCAGTAGATGGGCGTGACAGTTCCCTCTCTGATACTGAACCATCTCCCTCTTGTTGTCGCACCGGCCGGATGGACTTCATCGTCTGTTGGGGCTTATCGGCGTGTGGTGGTACAGGAGGGCCTGCTTCCGCTGCTCGTAAGTCGTTGGTATAGTCTCCGCCTCCTCGACGCAAGTTAGGCTGTCCAAAACCGCCCCTGTTGCCCGCTGCAGGCGAATCCTTGAGCGGACTGAGATGTGGCGGAACGGGAAGCGGGGGTGAGCTCAGCATTAAGGAGTGCCCAAGAACTTCCACGTTAGGCTCCTCGTCGTCGTCGTCCAGGTCGTCAAGATCGAGATCATCGTCCTCAAAGATACTCGATTGCTCGCTGTCCTCATCCATAGGGTCATCTGGCACACCTCCCGGTGGTGCCGGCACAAGATGAAGCGAGCTATCCCGTGATCTTGGGTCAGAGGCATTCGTAGAGGCAGCAGCGGCGGCAGCGGCATCAGCCTTTTCCTTCTCAAGATACCGTTCGACTTCTTCGCGATCCGCCTGCTCTTCGGCATCCTCATCTTCCCTAACACTCGGCATCTCCAGCTGCAACCCATGCGCCGTCTCCGCCACGTTCTTAACCTTGACCGGGCTAAGTCGCAAGCCCATCTTGAGCTCTTCGACGTTGACCGGCCTTCCGCTGACCTGCATCCTATTGCGCCAGCCGTCAATCAGATGGACAGCCTCCTTCCATCGGCTCTCCATCTTGACCCAGCCGTCGCGCAACCGGTGAATCTCGTCTTCGCGCACCACCACCTCCTCGATGGGCACAAACGACGGGTTCGTCAAGATAATGCGCATATGCTCCAGAACATTCTCCATATCCCTCTGCAGTTCCTCACAACTAGTAGGAATCACCAACGCGTGCTTCTCCCCTTCATCCTCCTCCTTCCTCAGCTCCCCGCCGCCCTCCATATTCGTATCCCCGCCCTCGTCCTTCTGTTGCTGTTGTTGCTGAGCCACCACATTAGCAACCACATCCCACCCACTCATCTCCTGCATCCTCCTCACCGTCCTCCTCACCAGACCGAGTAGAACCTCATTCTCTTCGCTGAGACCCTTCGCCAGCTCGGCAAGGAACCCGTTCGTCTCCATCCGGAGATCATACCCTTCTGACCCGGTCATCCCCTGCGGAACCCCCATCTTCCCCCCAGCCTCAGCATTATACTCCTCCCCCGCCTGAACAACAATACTCATAACCCCACCTTGCCCACTACCCAACCCACCATCCCTCGACTGACCCCTGACATATCCCGTGCCTCTCGTCCTCCCCGCATCCGCCACCGCCTTCTTCAGCCCCTCAATCATACGATCCCTTTTGCGAATCTCATTCGCGCACGCATTTCTCGTTTGCTGGACCAAGCTCTTCTGGCGGGCGGCCTCCTCTTTCAGGCGGGCGACGGTCTGCTCGGCAAGCTTTAATTGGGCGCGGGCGTGTGCGGCTTCCTGCTCGGCGAGAGCGGTCTTGCGCGCGGAATCGGTCAGCTTGTCGCTGAGCCGGACGATGTCGGTGGTTTGGCGGAGGGACTCGGCGCGTAGGGAGCGCAGGGTTTGGGAGAGGGATTCGCGGGTTTCGGCGTCGCGCTGCAGTTCCTCACAAGTCAGTTAATTAGATCGGAAGAATGGGAAAAAGAAAAAGGAATGGATGTGAGCGGATGAAACGTACGTCGCGCCGGAGGATCAGGTCGTTAACTACCCCCATTATACGACCCATGGTGTGTGCCAGCTCGGCATCGTTGTCGCCCGGGTAGGCGAAGTCGATGGTGTCGCCATCGCTGAGGAGGCCGCGCGAGAGCAGCTGGTTGTTGATGTATACAGATGCCGTGCGGAGGTTGTCTGAGATTATCATGTTGGGCGGTTGTTGGCGGTGTAGAAGGCGGTTATCGTGATCATTCCGAACTCGGGCGGCGGGAGGTGGTGTTTACCTAACGACTGTGCAGTGACCTTCTTCGCGACTTCGTATGGATAGTATTCCTTCTCGTAAAGGATCGGTTAGGTCGGACCTTCCGGTTAACACCACTGTCGCGGCCTCTGCGAAGTCGAAGTCGAAGTCGAAGTCGAAGTCGAAGGCGTGGGTTGGTGTTCAACAAGTGAAGTGTCAGGCCGTCAAAGTTGGGAAGGAGACAGCGACAGGAACCTGACAGCGACAGCAACGGCAATGCAGAAAACCGTTAGGGGTCAATGTCAACCTGTCAAGGGGTCTCAACGAGCTGCATACACACACACACACACACACACACACACACACACACAACACGCGGTATGTAATCGGCGAGCTTGTGGGCGGGCGGATGGGCGGGCGTTAAGGCGTCAATCGCTGGCTGGAGATCGATCAATTGGATGTCTTGTTTTCCCGACTTCACATTGGCGAATGCAACACACAGAGTGGCACTGCAGTGGTGGGTGTGCCAGTGCTTCTTGCGCAGTGGAAAAACAGCGAATCTTCGAATCAACGGAACCGGCATCACGCATGTTTATTTGGTGGGGCCGTTGCTGCAGCAATCCCCCCCCGGCCCGGATCACCCAACACGATCACCCACTGGCGGGCCACTACGGGACAACTGGCATGGCTCCCCACAGCTTGGCCGCAACAGCGTTGGAGAGCTGAACCACAGCGGCACCGCTACGTAGCCAGGTAGCTCATCACACCGCATCGTCACAAACACCCGACCGCCGGCGACCACGAAGCGGAAGAAGCCAGGAGAACAAGCTGAAACGTAGTAAACACACAGGCTAAAACCCTAACCCCCGCCCGTGTACAGCTCTTCTGAATGGTTGTTTGACCCCTGAACCTCAACTCCTCCTCCTCCGCCCTCCTTGTTGTGATGATCCGACACCTGCATTGGGGGGGCTGCAGGCCGTCAGCAGAAAACGATTGACGGATGATCCCGTCTCCGCCTTCCACTCGACTCCGACAAGATGCACAAATGTTACAATCGCCAGCCTCGAAAATATGGGAATGGCTTTTCCAATCCTTTTGAACTCCGTTGTCCCTTTTTCCGTCCTCTATCCCGTTGTACAGAATCTCCTCCCAGCCCTTTCTCAAACAGGCGTTGTTGTTGTTGTTGTTGTTGTTGTGGTTTCTGCTGTGTGGCCGTCGATAAAGGCCAGCCGGTCGCACCAGCTTTTTTCGCCTCGGTCGTGATTATTGGGTATATGGTCTTCGAGGTTCTATATATCGATAACGACCGCGAAAGCGGAATGAAGGATGGCATCCGATTGATGCCAAGACGTTCCCTGGTCTCAGATGTTAGCACAACCTCCGTACGACAACAGATCCGTAACAGGAGCGGGAACCGACGTGCAAGACATTTCAGAGTGTTTGAGAAGATTGTTGTAACGCGGTTTTTGTCAGCGTTTGTCTTCTCGCCCATGGGAGTTGGACCCAGAGGCGAGAAAGACATCTGATGGCCCCGCGGCCGTCATCATAGAATATTGCTATGGAAAGGAAAAAAACGAAAATTGGAAATACACACCTAACGGTAGGTTTGGAGAGACTTGCATGTTCTTGCGCAAGTTCACATAGGGCCCTCTCTCCAGCAGGCCTGTCGTGTAGTGTTGTGCTACCAAAGACAATCGCTTGGTCGCAAGTCTTTGGCTTGCCCACAAAATGTGGCTGCGAACTGCTGAAGGCGTCGCATGGCTAACAAAGTTTGTTTGGTCGCTATTCCGCTCATGCCTCGGGGACAAACCTGCCGCGCTTCTGGCGCATAGCATCCAACTTCTGCCTGTCCTCCTCGAACCGCTTCACCAGCTCCTCCTGCTCGGCCTTCTTGCGCTCCCTCATCTGGAACCTGTAGAAGTCCGTCATCTCCTGCTTCTTCTTTTCCGCCTTCTCGATCATCATCTTCTTGGCCTCCTCGGCCTCGTTCCTGGTGGCCGGGGCGCTTCTTCCACCACGTGTTACCGTGACGAAACCGTCCTCGTCCGGCTCGTTGCGCAGTCTCTTGGCGATCTCGGCTGCTTCCCTCTCTCTCCTGGTAAACATAGTCGAGAATGCATCCACGGCGGCTTGTAGCTGGTCGCGGTCGGGGTAGGAAAGCTGGTTGTGCGCCTTGAGCCAGATGGAGCCGAGTTGTGGTACACGCTCGGATACGACGTTTCCTTCGCCGCCCCATGTGGGATATTTCTTGGATTTGTGAACCTTCGCGATCGCCTTCAGAACCTGCTGTACGCTCTTCTCGTCGGCAAGCAGAACAACGGCGGTGCTGCCGCTCTTCCGTAGTGGTCGGGTCCATGTGCTGGGTAGTCGGGCAGCGGCTTCTTCCTCAGCTCTCTCGACAGCCTCCTGATCCTCGCGTTTCCTCTTCTTGCCGTGGGCAGCGAGTAATCGTACGGCCTGTGCGGGCGCGGCGTCTAGGGCGGCGGCAACGGCCTCGGCCTCCTTCCTCTCATCCTCGAAGGAAGCGCTCTCGAAGCGACCGGCGCCGACTAGTGATGCGAAAAGGGCGCGGAGGTGAAGCTCTGTGCTGTCGACAGGAACGTTTGCAAGGAAGAGACTCCTGGAATCGTTGGCTGTGGGGATCTTGGGGGCGTTTCGTCGGACGTAGAGGTAGTGGACGACATTGCGAGGGAACGACGGAACGGGTGGGATCGAGATCGGGAGGACGCTGAATTCGCCTATTGTTTGTGGGGATGGCGCCATTTTGTCGGTATTGAGACACAAACGTGCTGTTGACGAGTGTGGTTGTCGAGTTTCTGTTTGAAGATTGAAAACTGAAGCGAAGATCGAAGCATTCAGTTTGCTCTGCATTCCGTCGCCGTCTCCAGGAAACTTTTGCGCCCCACTTCTCAGCCTTGTAAAGTTATTGCGGGCGGTGATTGGTCGAAATCAGTATCGTAGCATACAGGTACCTTTAGGCGCCTGTGCGCACCCCTGGAGCTACAAAGTTCACCACTCGCATACGACAGCCACGCCCGTGCTCTTTAACGACCTCTAGACGGTATACCAGTATCTCTCTCTCGCTGTCGCACACGTTCAAGCTTCTCCTTTTCCACGCCTTGGTTGCCAGGGCTCGCACAGAAAGGTGACAGATTCCTACATATACGCCTACGTTGCCCAGATTTATCTTGTTCTTCGGCTTCCCTATCATCACATTTCACGGCTCATTTGAAGCTTCCAATTCTAGCAGACTGGTTAACTGAGCTAAAAACGCTGACAGTCCCAGATAGACGGATAAACCGGACGAGTCGGTCACGATGTATGATTCCTCTTCGGGCGATGACGACACGCCCAAAATTATCGTGCTCCAAGGAGAAGAGAACTTTGGGATTTGGGAAGGTTATGCCATACGTGTCCTCAGGATGCTTGGCCTTGAGGGGTTCATAAGGGGCACGGAGACACCTCCCCTTGGCAATACGCCCGAAAATATGAAAGAGCTCAGGAGCTTCAAGGACAGGAAATGGCACGCCTGGAGTCTCCTCTATGAAAGTGTCCAAATCCTGGTAGCCCAGAAGCACATCCGCAGGTGGGGCCCATACGATCGACTGGATGACTGCGATCCGAAAGTACTATGGGATGCGGTGCAACGCTGGTATACCAACATTGACCCAACCCAAAAACTCGCCTTTTTAAGGGAGCTCACCACCATCGACTATCGTCAATTCGATGACATCGATGCATTCCTGGATAGAGCTGAATGGCTTCAACGGCGTCTTGGGCGCCTCGGCATGCCAATATCGGATGAGATGATGAAGACGTGTCTGTACGGAGGTGTGTTTCCACACCACCCCAGCAAAATTTTGGAAAGTCTTATAATCGTGCGGTACGACAAATGGGACTCCGAAACAATGATCTCGGAGATTAGAAAGCACATATTCGCCATTCAAGACCAGGCAAACAAACACCAACAAGAGCAACAAGAAATCAACAGGCCCCGCAATGCCAATAGGCAGTCTTCCGAACATCGCGGTGGTTCAAGGCAACGCGGTCGTCGCCATTGAAGACATATCTCTGAGTCGTGTCTCCTCGGCGATCCCTCATCTGTCCTGCTTAGGTTCTCCTTCACTGGTCACCCATAGCTCAGGCCTCCAGTGATTTACAACGCGGAGGCGATAAGGGTAACGGCGAAGCCTCGGATACTAGTTGATTTTTGCCCATCTTCTTGAGGGTCTACCTGTTCGATCTCGTAAGGAAAAGGGCAAGAAGCGCACAAAAGAGTACGGGGGCAGGTCTGAGCTTCTGGGATGGTATGGAGGAAAGCATCAACATATGAGACGATGGGAACTTGATGGCAGGGAAAATGCTTCATTGGTGGCTTGTTTGGTTGAAAAGGAAAAGGCGTGCCACCCAGCTAGAGGTAAATACGGTACTCTGTAAATGGAAATTCAAGGTGGGATGCACCTTCCACACGTAACACGTCCACTGAATCGCCATCATCACCAACATGTTAAACTGGTTCGCAAATGCCTGGCGTTGTTTGTGACCATTTGCGCCCCACTTTGTCAGCCATATAAGGCAGAAAATGCATGTTGATTGGTTGAAACTAGGATGGTAATGTACAGGTAGGTATCTTTCGCGCCTGTGCGCCTCCTGAAGGTGCAGTTTCGCCAAAACATCAACTTTTTCGACCGGCCACCTCGTCATTTGTCTGCCGCGCAATTCTCAATGTCCCCCACCAGCAACTTTTGAGGTTTGAGTCGCCTTCCGATGAACTATGATCAAGACTTTTCTTTTGTACCAATTATTATTCCTCTGAACTCCGAGTCCTTTAAAGGGTCTTGGAGCTGACGCATCGAGCGCGGGGCACCCGACCACAAGGGCGATAATCGAATCCACCTGAGGTTGTGACAAGAGAAAAGCCGAACACAAAGTCGCCCAGATCAGTGCTGCACACAAGTCAAGTCAAGTCAAGTCAAGTCGGGGGTCTAATTTGACTTGTTTGTAAAAAACAAGCGTGTACTTGACTTGTTTTGACCCCCGATTTAACTTGGCTTGTTAACTTGCTTGCGTCAATACTTGTACCAGACCAATATGCACCCCCCTCCAGATACCTACAGTCGGGGATATTTTAGTACATATATGTCCGTGCTTTGGAGAAACAAGTCCGGCCTTATATAGGCTGGCTCGCTGGCTATCCTTCGACCGCGACTCGCTTCCTTCTTTTCTCCCAGACACAAGTTCCCAACTAGACAGCCTCTTCACCTCACCACCCGAGCACTTTGTGTCATCCACTTGGTCACCATGGCTGCTGCTTCCACAGAAAGGTGAACATCTCTTGCGACGATGCACATACCACCCACCTGATCGTGTCTCTTCTTCCCCAGCTAAGCCTTCGTCAAATTACCTTCTAGTTCTGGGCTTTCAACACCTCAACTTCGGAAACAGAACTAACACTTTGACCAGCTCCGTTTCGAGTGATCAAAAAGTTCAAGAGCCAGCCAACGACATTCGTCATCCAAGATGGCCCCTTTGGACAGATTCCAGCCCAGATGCTGGCTTGGAGCTTCCAGAACTCAAAGGAGAAGACAACTTTGAGTTATGGGATCGTAGCGTCCTAGACACTTTCAAGATATACGGTCTTGAGGGTTTTGTCAAGGGGACGGAAACACCTCCCCCTAGTGACACTGCCGAGGATTATCTGGACCTTCAGACTTTCAACGACAGAAGGCTTTGCGCTTTCCGAATCATCTATACAAGCAGCACGCCCATTCATTTGCAACTTTTGCCCTACGGATATGACGGCTACCAATTGCCGGATGTTCTCGATCCACAAGTCCTGTGGGATGCTATTCATCGCTGGGATGTCGCTGTTCACCTCAACACACTCGCCAAAGTCAAATTGGTGAGGGAACTCAGCCACATACATCACTCTGGGTTCGATAACCTCCGTGAATTTATGCGCCGAGCTAATTGGCTTCGCCGGCGCCTCGAGCGTGCCGGTGTGCCGATTGCCGACGAGCTGATGAAGACATATGTTCTCAGCGGGTTGACCAGGTATCCCGACGAAAACTGGGTAACGTCGCTGTTCATCAAGGCTTCGGACTGGACTTACTTCACTTTAGGGACAAATATTGAGAAACAGGCGTCCTGGGAATCCGTGGGGGAGTGTCAAGTCAAGCCAAGCAAGCCACAACACCTCAAGAAGCGCCGCAATGCCCGTGGACGCCGTCCCGGACATCCTCATAGAGAAGGTGCCAGACAACGTGGCTCTCGCTATTAAAGAGACCGCTGGCCTCGTGCAGAGGGAGCATCTCTCCCTCTCGTGTCTCTTCGGCAATCGCCCACCTCTTACCTAGGGTATACAGCAACGACTATTCACAACTCCATGAACCCATACCATGTTACAACTACGCGAAGTCTCCCGATACTGGTAAATTCGTGTTTGTCTATTTATGCCCACATATGCAAAAGTCTTGAATGAATACGAGGCGAGCACCGGAAACTATGAACACGGGTCAAAGGTTCTGCGATAATTCGAAGCCACGAACATCATCCCTCCGTCGGGTACATGTCCGCACTGCTTTCACCAACACTACGACGTTTTTCACAAGTCTTAGTGACTAAACATTATTCTAAATGAATTTCAGACTTTCCTCAAACTCGCTTGATCTGGGTTTCTAGACCAACGCACGGCCATGCCTGAACAATAACTGCTTGGGTCACCCATCCACCTCCATCGATACAGGCTCTTCCTGGTGGCAAAAAACCCACAATGGATTAGACTACTTCCATTCCGAGCACCTCGGTAGTTGTACTTATAGTCTCTGTTCTCACCCCTGAGTCATTAGTTTTACTCCCAAGTCCAATACTACCGGTCTTGTCACCCCTCAAAAGAATTCACGGCCACCCCGATCCTATATCCTATCGCCTTGGTCATCATGGCTGCTTCTCCAACCGAAAGGTGACAACTTGTTCCTGATAACCACGTTTTCTGATCTTATCTTTGCTTTCTTGTTCGCCAGAGGAGCACCAAAGTGATGATTGTTCCCCTTCACCGACTCACTGGAGAACCTTGCTAACGAACTATCTAACCAGCACTGCCTTAAGCGTTCCTCATCAAGAAGCCAAAGAGCTATGGCGTGGATGGAAGCATTCGTCTTCAACCCTTCCGCTCTTTCCTATTCCGGATCTCCAAGGTGATCAAAATTTCGACGAATGGAGAAGAACGGTCGATGCCAACCTCTGTGCCGTCTTTCTCGAGGGTTTCATCAAGGGCACAGAGACACCTCCTCAAGGAGACGACAGTCGCATTGCCAGATTGAACCGTGAGCGCTTTGAGCAAAGAAGACAATGCGCCTTCCGGATCATCTACGACAGTATCAACCGTATCTTGCCGCAACTCAAGTCCAGTGGGCATTGGACCCTTGACGTCACCGATCGCGACCCCAAAGTCCTATGGGATGCAGTTCATCGCTGGGATGCCGACCGCCCTGGCATATACGTATCTCGCCTACTGGACGAGTTCTACAGTATGTGCCACTGTCAACATAAGTCAGACCTCAACGCCTACCGCGACAGAGCTTTCTGGCTTCGTATGCGTTTCGAGCGGATGGGCATCCCAATTCCGGCAAAATTCTACATGTTTTATCTGGTTAAAGGCCTAGAGACTTACGATTTGGACTGGGCTAACCGCCTGTACGTGGATATCGGGGATGGAAAAATCACCTGCACTAAACTCGACATCGAGATTGGTTCCAAATACGCCATGGACAAGCGGGAAGAAGAGCACCGCGAAAATCTTGCCAAAAACGAACTCCTCCGCGAACTTCGCCAACTTGCAGTCCAGATCCTGCGCCAACTAAAGGATGATAGGCGCCTCGAAAATCTTACCAAAAACGAACTTCGCGAACTTGTATACCAGATCATGAGTGATCTGATGGACCACGGGCTCCTCAGTGCCATAGACCATCAATCTGGTCAGAACCGCGTCTGCAAAAGGTGCTCTACCCATCATTAAGAGTACCAACGGCTTGAGGAAGCAATACGGTCATGCCTCCCTCCGATCACGCTTCTCGCCGATTCTTCACCTATGAGGTTTCACCTCGGTGATCATCACTCATCACTCACTTTGCATTCGTGCCAGGTGGTGAACTATTCCCTCTATCAAAATTTCACTTGTGCATTCAAGCTCAAAGATATACCTTCATTTGTGTATTCACGCCAGGTGGTAAGGTTGCCCAATTCGCCTTGCGAGCTACATTTGACCTCTGGTCAAGACACACACTCAAAGGAATGGCTCTCCGTCACTTGCGTAGTCATGCCAGGCGACGTGAGTCTTTTTTCTTCTCAACTTCATCTGATGTTTCACACACCGCACCCCAACAGATGATACATCCTCATTACTTGCGTCATCCTCGAGAGCATGCCAGGTATGAGAGTTCATCACCCACTGCTTGATCTTTTTCAAGATCCTCACCCGCAACTCGCCTCATTTTTGAAGCTTCGCTTCACTTTGCTGTGAAGTCACACACCCACTCGCCCGCTTGAGGTGATGAGGGTTTATCAACCCTTGGGGTACTTGACTTGTGAACGCCCACCTCCTCATGATATGATTTTATCAGCGCTTCGCTTGCGAAGTCCGCCCCTTTGTTGATATAACTATGTCATTGCTTCACTTGGATAGTTCCGCCTGTGTTGATATCTCACTTTCACCTCATGGGCTCCCCTGCGAAGGAAATGGACAAACTGAGGTGCTATTGACCTGGGGAGACAGGAAGAACTCGGGATGGGAAGTTTGGGATGAAAGGTGCGGTGTTCGGAGGGACTCGTTTCGGCACCGGCGATCTCTTCGCCGAGCTACTTGAGACGACAGATTCACAAATGGGTACATCTGGTTCCTCTACATGGTCTCTCTTTTTCAAGTGCATCCCACTTCCCAGTTGATCCCCTTACACACACAATAGTGCACACTCCTATTCATCCTATTTGCGTTACCCGTCGTATCAACGAGAAGTGTTAAGTATTCACAATTCACGCTGTTCGCGTGCGTATTCCTCTTGGTATTTTACACTCTTGGTGTCACCTGGTGCAATCGTCCGAACTGTGTCTGCTGATCTGCGAGAGTTGCAAGGCAGTCACGACAAGACGAAACGCTCCTTCCTTCCCTGTCAGAGACAAACACCACCGCTAGTGTGCAGGTCAATAGGATGACCGGTCTTCCACTTGAGATGAAACTGAAGCATTGAACGTCCATCCGATCTCATATTGTGGAGGCACGACAATAGATTCCCCTCGCCTCCTCGCTAGTCTTGCACCACACCGACCTCCTTCCTTCTTGTTTAAAGACCCCGCCTGCCCACGTACAACTTCTTGCCATCAAATCTCGAACTTTGCCCAGGAATCTTTCCCTGAACAACAACAGCAACAACAACAACCACCTCGTGAGCTCGTTTCCCGCGTCTACAGAGATCGTCGGACAACCTTTCCGTCAACCTGACAACAACGCCTACAGGCAGCTCTACTCTTCTACATTTGCCCGATATCAAGTCATTCTCACCTTCCGCCTCACCATCAGATCTTCCTCAACCCACATTCCACCATCACCCACTTGACCCAGTCACCAAAATGGCGTCCGGAAACCCCAACGCGGACTTTCCTGCGTTCCCTCACCTTCCCAAAACTCCTTCCCTAAGCGGCGAGGAGGATTTCGAGGTTTGGCACAATGCACTCCTTCTTCAAATGAGCCACTTAGATGTCGACGACATCATCACCGGCGACGAGCAGGCTCCTGCCAAAACCGCCTCAAGAGAAGATCAGAAATGCTTCAAGAGGAAGCAGGTACTGGCGTACACCATGCTCTCTAATAGCATTCAGCCGATCATCAGCAAGCTCCAAGCCCTCGGTTACAACGACGAGGGGCATGCCTTGGACCCGCGGAGCCTCTACAACGCCGTGATCAAGTGGGACAGTGAAATCTCCGCTGAGCACAAATTCCGACTTGTCAAGGAACTTACGGAAATCGATCACTCCAGCTTTCCCAACCTCCACGCATTCCTGGACAGGGCCCTATGGCTCCGCCGACGCCTCAGTCGTGCCCTCTTCAAGGTTTCAGACGAGCTCATGGATATGTTGCTGCTGAAAGGCATCAGTTCTTACGATGAGGATTGGACAAAGATGATTCTCCACGGCAAAACCACTGGGTCTCTCGTCGAGAACATTGCTTCGTTGATTGCCAAGAAGGCAACAGAGCAGGAGGCCATGAGCGTCACTTCCAAGACCACCAACTGCACGAAAGCAACTCAGGAAAAGGGCACTCAGGCCACCTACACGAAGGCTCACCAGGAAAATGGCACCCAGACTGAGCCGATCCAGAACCAAACCTACAAAGATACTTCCAACAGCAACGATCCCCGTCCTGATACCCCGAACACCTGGATCCCGACCGCAGCCGACGATGATTCGAAGAACATCATGCCCTCTGACTTGACCACCACTCCGAATGGCGTTCCACAGGGCACTACCAAGGTCGGCAGTCAGAGTACGACCACGGACGAAACCCTCAACAATGACAATTCACCCACCAACGCTGATGCCAGCAACGGCATGCCCCAGAGCGAGGTTAATTACGGCAGCAAGAGTCCCAATACCAACCTTACCACCCCGTCGCCTACTCCCAACGGTGCCCGGCAAAGCGGGAACATAGTTGCCAACCCAACTACTGTCCACAATTCTAACTCAGACGTCACCAAACCCTCAAACCCCCTGCCTTCCGGCCCTGTCACTAACACCGGCCACCAAACCAACGGCACTCCTCAGCAGCCTAGTGGGTTTAGTCCTACCAATAACGGCAGTCCTCAAAATGGTCCCCATTCCGTGAATCCCTCTAACGCTGTCCCGGATCACATCCTGAACCGCCAAAAACAAATCCACGCCTGGCTCTTGGGTAACTCATGGACCAGCGCCGAAAGCAACTCATTGACCAACGCCAAAAACCTTCATGCTCAGAGCGACCAGAACAGCCCGCTCCAACGTCCTGCCTCTGTGCAGCACCCTCCTCACACCAACCAAGATGAATTTGGCCCTGAAACTTTTGCTGCTAATTTGATCGCCAGGAACAACAGTACCGGTCAGTCTCAGGATGGAAAACCCAGGCTCAGGATTAAAAGGCGTCCGTTTGGACCGTCGGACCCCCGCCATTGGTAATCAGAAAGAATCAGTATGAGCTTGCGGCCTTGGCCGTTCATCCAGTTGACTTTAAACTTCACTCATGAGAACAAGGAGCATATGAAGTCGTGGTTTGGACAGGACAGCTCACAGCAGCGGGGATCAGGAACCCAGCTATATCCAGAAGGATATACAGGAACGAGTTTTGAACGGAGGATATGGTTGATTCAAAGCCGCGTTACACGGTTCTTTCGACTTGGTTGAGATGGTCGACACAGGGGATAATGGACAGTAAACATTGCAAATTTTCATGATTTGCTCGACATGTGTGCTTTGAATTTGTCGTGTGGCTGAAGACACCTCGATTGTGGATCTAAGGCTATTCGTGGGAGGAAGCAATGCAATCAACTTGAAGTTTGAAGTCGATATACCCGCTTGATGTTCGATCTGAAGCGCTTTTTGCAGGTCTGGTTGCGGTGGAAGATACGGCTTGGAAGAATGATCATGTTGCATGACATTTACGCTTGCTAAGTGACAGATATGGCATCTGAGGTCAGTTGATGGTCGAACTTGAGAGCATTTTGACTTTTGAGTGCTTGGTAGACATAATCCATACTTCCAGCAGCTAGTCCCAACAAGAACAACATTGCCATTCTTCTATATATAAAGCCGCGTGCCCAAGAAAGTTTCTATCTCATATGAAGACCGTGTTGCTCGTTTTGATTCTGTGCATACCTGACTCATGATGTGACTGACCTGACCAATTTGCGTTTTAGACGAACTTTCGATCTGTGATGTTTACTGTGGTATCTTAGTCTAGTCTACCTTGAATGCTTCCGGAGGCATCTTCTTTACGCAGCCTCTTTCCACTACCAGAAAATTCGGTTCCCACTTCCGCCAACAAGCAACAACCCTCCCTCCTCCCTCTCAGTCAACGCCAAAAACCATTCTACGGTTCACCCCCACCCCTCACTCAACCCTTTCAAATCTCAATAACAATCCTCCCCACCCCCCTACTAACACAAGCCAACATCGCGCTCCCCTTCTCTTCAGCCGTCAACGCCGTCCCCCTATGTTCCACCCGTCCCCCCTTTAGGTTGACCTTACACGTCCCGCAATTCCCCACGCAACAACTCCCCCCCACTTCTTCATCCCCAAACTCCTTTTGCAGAACCTCCAAGAGCGTCTCCTCCCCTTGTACTTGCAACGTTTTGTCGTTTCTATTAGCAACCACCACCTCAAACGGATCCCCACTGATATCCGCTTCAAACGCCTCAAAATGGACTTCCCCCTCTGGAACGTTATATTTCCTGACTTGAGTCGCAGCGTCGAGCACGAGAGACGAAGGACCGCAGAAGTAAAGCATTGTATTCCACGGTATGTTTTTGACGATATCTTCGATGTTGAGACGCTGGCCTTTGGTTTTGTCGTAAATCTTGACAGTGCCGGGGTTTAGTTGGGAGAGACGGTCGCGGAAGGGGATATCATCGGAGGAGGAAGAACGAACGGCGTAGTGCAGCTCGCACGAGACGTGGATACTCTGTAAGTACTCGAGGGAGGTCAGGAAAGCGGTGATGCCCACCCCGCCGGCGACGAAGATGTGGTGGCTGATTCCGGGGGCGTTGGGCACCGCGTTGGTGAAGTTGGCGGACACTTGGAGGACGTGGCCCTTGAAGACTTGGGAATGCAGGAAGGCGGAGCCGCCGCGGGATTGAGGCTCGAGCGCGATGCCCAGCTGGAAGCGGTTGATGGAGGCGTCGTCGGGGGGGCCGACGATGGAGTAAGCCCTCACGAGGTCGTTGCCGAGTTTGACGCGGGCGTGCGCGCCCGGTTTAAGGAGGATGGACTTTTCGTCTCCTGGAGGGGGAACGATGGGGTCGATGGCTTCGAGGACGAAGGAGACGATTCGGGGGGTTTCGGTGTGCCGTTCGACGACGCGGAAGTCGCGCCATCGAGCGAGCTTTTCTGCTCTTTTCTTTTGGGCTGCCGAACGGGCCACGCGGGCTTTGAATGCGTCTCGACTTTCTGCGCCGAGCTCTTCGATTTGCGCCAGTTCGGCGTTCATGGCCTCGTCGTCCTGGTTGCGGTGGAGATACTCTTGGATTCGCTCGATGGTCCATTCCGGATGTGGGCGGGAAACGAGACGGATTTCGTCCCCGGCTTGGACGAAACCGGGACGCAAGACGCGGTAGTACCAGCCTGTTCGCGAATGCTTCCAGGTTAAGGGGGCGAACTTCTTCAGCTGGAAGCGGTGGTTGAGCTTGAAGCAAGGCTGGCGGGGGAGGGAGACTTGGAGGAGGAGGCAGGAATCCGGGTTGGAGGTCAGGGCGGATGGGCTGCCGACGATCATGGTGTCGCCGATGCAGACGTTGCGCTCGTTCATGTGAGCGGTCACGAGGTTCTCGCCGAAGCCGCCGGGGACGAAGGCCACAGCGGCGGAGGGGTGCTCGGAGGCCCATGATGGATAGTGGGAGGAACAATCTGTGTGGACAGTCAGTATGAGGATGAGTACCCGGGAGGTGTTGGGGTGAGAGTGGCACTGATAAGGAGAGGGACTGGAGGGACTTACAGCCGTGAACGGCCTTGTCAATGCCGCCGTGGAAGGTCGGGTCACTCTCATCGCCTTCCAAGCCAGTGCGGCCGACGTATACGGGGCCGTCGATGATAGTCTTGTCGATTCCGCTCATGACGTCGAGACCCCTCATTTTCTTCATCTTGCTCGCGCGCACCTCGAGGATGGTGTCGCGCTCAAAGGGGGCGTAGAGGTTGATTTTGGACTGTGATTCCGCCATGGCGAGAAATGTTGCCTCGTTGGGGTAATTGTATGTTGGTGAGAGGAAGAAGATGGGATGTTCCAAATATTCGAAAAATGCCGTCTTAAGCAGATCGGTGGGTGAGGAGGTGAATCGAACAACCGTTCGGCAGTTGTTCCCGAGAAGCCATTACAAGGTTTTGATTTTCCACAATCGCCGCGCCCTTCCAGTGAAGGGGTGGCAATTCACCACAAGATAATCCGATCACATCGGACTAGATCTAAAAAAGTGAGGAGTGATGATGACTTCCCCCCTTCACGCACGTTGTTGCAAGGTTCGCTAAGGTTACAATACTAAAAAAAGTGTCCGGTGTTTTGCGAAGCCGTCTCCACAATAATCCCCAATTGGGATGGTACGCGTGAGCTGATTGGTCAATTTCCTGTACCCTTGGAGAAGATTACTAAGATGGGATTCATTGATGTGAATGGACAACTGCGTCGAGGTTTCTACAGCGATAACATACTGGCTCTACATACCCTTTAGGTTGACGTTGAATGATGGAGGATGTGGTGATGTGGGTTCAGCCAGACTCCTTAGGGACGTTAGGGGAGTTGAGCTTTTCTGTTCTACCCAAAAGTCATCTAGATAGTTGCAAGTCTGTACTTCTCTTCTGGCTGGCTTGGAGAGGCCCTCGGATCCTTGAAGGAAGCGTTCCATGGTCGTGACACTCGCGATACGAAGACCAAATATATATCAAAGCTGTGAGCTTCAAAGACGAATGAAGGTGTTTGACAAAGGCAGGATGGCCGGTGTGGGAAAAGCTCGGGCTTGAGCGTGATACATGGGATTGGGTTGATCAACTTCGAACTCAACGTGTGAAAGTGTCAGAGGTAAAAGTCAGCCTTGGAATTTTGGGCACGCCCACAGAACGTCTTGCGGCCAAAGCTCGAATATCGTGGTGCTCTAGAGAACTCGAGGAGGTTGATCAAGTCCCGGGATCATGGCTGTTGGCATTTTGCGTGTCATAGTCGTGGTTGCCGTTGAAAGCTGCCACGCGAGGCTCTGCTCAGTGAACTGGCATGACCTGTCATATCTTTGTGGGCCTGCAAGTATTAAGCTTCTGCTCAACTTGAAAACCAAGATATTTGGCCCAACGCCAACTGTTTTTGTGTGAGAATTGGATCACAACCTGACACCGCTAAATCCTTCCTTTTGTAGAGGTCGTCAGATGCTTGCTGGCTGTTGAATGGCACGACCTTAGCCCGTCTTACTGGTCTCGTTACCATCTGGCTGTTACGGTCGCAGAGTTGGTCATAGGACCCATAGCTGCCCAGTCATGTTGACGTGAATGTCACTCATCCATCTGTAAGGTTTCGGCTTTGTGCGGTGATGATGGGGATCGTTAAGACGATGTCAATGGCTTGGGACTTTCAGAGGAGAGGGAGATGGTCTATATTTGGTTAGCTGTGAGATGGCAAGAGTTGAAGAGCAAGGCAGAGATATGGTAGTAGATCGGAGATTGCTAGTTGGTAGAATCATCCTTCCATTCCCCTCCATATGCCTCCGTTTGAATGCGGCTTGGGCTGTTGTTGGTGTTTGCTGATTTCCACTTGGTTGCCCCTGCGCTTGGGTAAGCACAGTAATCTTCATCGCAGAGCCGCAATTGCTCCCATACCAAGAATCAAGGATGAAGAATGAGCGGTGTCCGGCCCGATCAAGTGTTGTACTTATGGCCGAGAGTTTTGATGAAGTGCGACTGGAGTTGCAACTTGTGGTACCACGCCAGCGTGTAAGGTATTCCCCAGTCACCACCGTTGCAGGGTCTCGAGGCGCTCCCTTATTGGGCTTGGAGTAACATGAAGTGATAATTAAAGCGGCTCTGTCGTGGTACGAGAAACGGACCGTTTTTTCCAATGCCGAGGTAATGTAGATGGTAAAGCGAAGGGAGTGAGGCAGAATGCGATGTGAACAGTTAAGTTGGAAGAAAGAACGAAGGATTGGGAGGTTGGAAAGGAAGGAGTGCCCGCTGGGAACAAGCCGCAACACTTCGCTTGGGTGCGGGGTTCCACTTGGCAAGGGTAAAGGTGCGGCTCAAAATAAGGTCTTAACAGCTCTGACACTGCATGGCACCAGTTGCTGTCACCGTACCTGCGCAAACGGTCACCTTGCAAGGTCAGCACAGCGGGAAACTTCTCGGCAAGCTGAAAGAGAAGGGAACTTGACCCGATCTCAACCCGACATCCCGTGCCCCCTTGTGTTCCATTTTGGCATTTTCCTCTTTGGCCGCCGCATTGTGTCAATAATTTCCAGCCCATGCTCAGCAGAGCCGCAACATTGAGGTAACTCCTCCATCTGAACCATCATGATGTCGTCCCGGGGCAAGTGCCCTGGGGCCGAATCACCACCTTCGCGACCATGGCCCCCTCATCAGACGTATGAGACAGTGAGTTCCTGTTCCGCCTCACGCATATGAAGAAAAACACAAGTCAACTAACATGCAGAAAAATCAGTGAGAAATTTCAGCATCGTTGATGAATCAATGTTGTGTGGTTAAACTGACCTAAGGCCTGGGAGCGGGGCCGGTGGTGGGAGGGATCCTTCCCAAGAGGGAAACTTTCCAATTCTAAACCAACCGACGAGCCTCGCGGCAGGTGACAGGCCCCATCACTTTCACTCCTCCCTCGCTTGCTCTTGCTTAACATTGTTCGCTGGGAAGAAGGTATAAGTTCGCTTGAGCTTGCTTGACGAACTCTTGCCTCCGTGCACTTGTCCACCTCCTGTCTAAGTTATATCCACTTCACTCTCACTTTCGTCTTATTTCCTTCTTCCGATTTCAACAAATTCCTGCTCAATTCATGGCATACGTCACTCTTTGAGGTCCCGCCAGGAGATTGCAGAGAACACAGCTACTGACATCATGTCACTGCTTAAGCTGCCGTACGAGATGGTCAGCTACGTGCTGGACGAGCTCGACCTTGACCATGTTTGGCAACTGAGTCTCACCTGTAGGCATCTAAGGTCTCTGGTGACAGAATCGAACATAGCAAAACGACTGCTTGAGGTGCTGTCCCGCCGCACGGTACCCCTATTTCTTCGTCTGTGGAAGCTAACTTTCATGCTTGTGGCACAGAGCAAAGCACCGGCAGCAACAGAGACTCAAAACGCCCACGTTACCAAGAACTATGCCCACGAACTTCGACGCTTGATGAAACGCCGCCAATCCATCTCTTCGGTCACCCCCTACTTGGCAGCTGTCGTTGGCTTTGGCGAGGACTGGATATACCGAGATGGCGTGCTGTGTTACATCCGACATGACCAACTTCGAATATTAAACCTCCATGGGTCCGCAGTCGACGAAATCGTTGTCAACATTCGACTCCTTCTTGATGAAGCGATCCCCGAGTCTCGCAAGATACGCAATTATCGGTTTCGGCCTCTCAACGTTTCGAACAACATCGTCTCCTGTTTATACTACTATAAGGAGCCCTGTACAAGTGGATGTGATTGTGGTTCAGTCTATGCGGGGTCGCTCGTTGTCTTTAGTGCTCAGGACCGCAAAGTTCTTACTGCGCGACGTCTACTACAAGATTTCGAACCTAAGAGGGTCGCGGTACGAAACAACGACAAGGTCCTATTTCTCATCCACAGATCTCGCTATCAGGAAGGACGATCAATATGCTGGAACGCCTACAATATTCTAGCCAACGCATGGCATCTCTCTACTCGCTTACGCTTGTTTGGCTTTCACTTTCAGCCATTTGAAATAGGCATCACGCATTGCTTCGAAATTCTCGACGGTCACATTTACTCGCTTTCAAACCATAGCGACCTCGAAGAAGAGGAAGGCGATTGGGTGTCGCCTTATCATTGCCTAAGATTTCCTCTGGCTTTCAACGTTGTGGCCAAACTCGGACCCGACCGGCTGTTGCGGAGAAATCATCTGGACGGGCCAATGGACCATAGGTGGACGTTCATGAGAATGTTCAAAGATGAAGCAACGGGTGAGATCAAGGTTGTGGAGTCGCGGAGAGAATGGATCAAAAGGAGCTCCTCCGCAACACGTACCTACTATACAACTACGATTAAATGGCCTAGTGAAAGCGCAAGTCACTTTGTATCCGACTCCAATGAAGATGGCTCCGATGGAAGCAACACCAGTGGAAACAACTTCGGTGGAACCAGCATAAGCCCAGGTTACCTGGGTAATTCAGGCAATGAACCTGACCATGGTAATGCGGAAGTTCACCCAGAGGATGGCATATCAGGACCTGGCGAGTCGGAATCAAATCATCAACGAGGTGACAGGCCACCTAGAATCCTACCTCCAAGGGACCCTCAAACTGTCCATCCTGGAGATGACAGCTCCAAAGGACCGATATTCCTTCGCAATAAATGCCCGATCCTGTCATATCATCCGTCTTGCCAAACGTTCCTTGACCTAGTGGACTTATCACCATCGAATTCGGACAAACGACGGATGCGCATTCGGGGAGGTACGCGACATCGCCGGAGGCCAGAAGAGATTGAGGATTGGAGCCGCTCTGCGAAAGAGAAAGGCTCATTATCAGTTGCGGAGAAACACTTCGAAGAAGTATACAAAATGTACAAACACGAAGAACCCGTTTCTTGGCCACCCGACCACGACCCCAAATCTCCCAACCCGGCTTTAGCCCAACTCTACGAAATCCTCAGTCCGCCAAACTACGCGGGCGAAATCACTGGCGATTGGGACGAGCGTTCGTTTGTGTATGCTGCGGGTGCGTCTTGTGGCAGTAAGGAAAAGGCTCTTGTGTTCATCTCCTTTGACCCGTCCATTTCACTGGCGGGAACTTTGCCATACCCAGGTCCGATGATGTTTGGTCGGCCTCAGTCAGTCGATACAACCGGTCCGACAACTACTGTGAGTGACAATTCTACTGCTCATCAAAGCCATGGCGATGGAGTAAGAAGGGGGAGGCAGTTAGGAAGAGCAAGGCAGACCCCAAGGGGGAGGCAGACAGTAAAGAAGAGGCAGACGGGAAGGAATGCACCGACGGAGGCAACACAGGTGCATAGCACCAAGGCTGATGCTGCCTGGTGCACTATTGAACCAGCGCAGTATCAAACGATCAAGAAGGGTTTCCATTTCTGCGTCTGAGACAGACACGGACACAGGGCGAAAACGAGGAGACATGAAGACCAGGCTCTATGCCTGAATAGTACGGTATGGTTCGACAGAAAGTCATTAATTTGGCGTGTATCAGCAATAGTTGTTTTGCTGTTACTAGCGAACAATAATGATATCGATTTATATCACAGAAGCCGCAGGTCCGTTGTCTGGATTGTTTTGTGCGTCCATCCAACAGAGATATCTAGGCCGCTTTCGCCCATTACTATTCAGAAACACAGCAGACAGACTTAGATCTGTTGATATGCCCTGACGGAACATCAAGAAGGTCCGATCATTTTCGGAGGCACCACTTCAAACAAGGCTGCCGGGACTCTATACATAGATTCGTCGTCACCACTTGTGGTGGCTTCAAAACGGCACTTTAGAGCCTCACCTTGCGTACATCGCGGCATCTCGGGATACACAACAGGAAACGAAATTCTCCCACCCTTCTGGTTCCGAGTAGAAAGAGGTAGGTATGCGACCAGGTGGCCAACCTTACCCGCTCTTACTGTCAGATTGCACGGTTATGTGAATGTAGAGAATATGGGTTGATCGTTATATTGATTGAGTATGTAGAGTAGAAAGATTGCATATATAGGTTGGGGGATCCCAGAGTATTAGGAAGGTTTGCAGCGCTGTTGGGGTAGCTGGGAGGCTAGTCCTCTTATAGAACTTTCGTTTTATTGGCTAGATATAGCCCACCAAATTAACACACCTCCCCAACTAAAATCCCCTATTTTAGGGACGAAGCTAAAGCTATTTACATATTGCCTTTCTATTCCTAACTATCTCCTCTATATTTTTTAATTTAATATAATCTATTACATATCTCTTTTTTTTCTTCTTCTCCTTAATTGAAGCTATACCTAGTAATCCCTTGAATTTTATATACTTTTACGCAAATAGCACCTTCGTTAAACCGTAACACGGGGATCTACGAAGAATACTAGATACGGGGCGCCATGGGATGAAGCTAGTGTATCTGTTATATTCTAAATAATGATGATGAGAAGAAGAGGAAGGTCTGGAAGCCAGGGCACAGCCCAGTCTTATGTACTGGGCTGGCAACAAAGGTTCTAAAGAACCTTTGTCCCAAGCTAGGCAACCAGAACCTCTATGACTAAACTAGACTATTCTATAAGGTGTTGGAAACCCCTAGTTTCCTGTATTAAATGCCGCTTAATAAAAGAAAAGCCATTGTCCTCAATGGTCATGAACATCCAGGTCTCCTCCGATAAGTTCCAGGTCTCCTCCGACAATATCTAGGTCTCCTCCGATATCCTCCAGGTCTTCAGGATGATCCGGGGCGCAACGGGATGCATCAGGTTGACAGAGCGAAGATGGATAAAGTCTGTAGAGGTCCGTTGAAGTCCGAGAAGCTAGGAGGCGGTTTAGGAAGGCCCTAAGAAAATAAGGGTAGAACGAATGAAGCGAAAGGAAGGCGAGAAATAGCGAGGTCCGCTAAGTAAGGTAGTAATAGTTGGTTGCCTATATTAATGGTTGACTAATAGAGGGTTTGGTAAAGTTGTTAGAGTTGAAAAGGGGTGCTAAAGAGTTGTTAACCTTGTTGGTAGTTGGTGAAAGAAAGAAGTGAAAAAGAGATGCCGAAAGATGAGTGTTGAAAGTGTTGAAAGTGTTGAAAGTGTTGAAAGTGTTGAAAGTGTTGAAAGTGTTGAAAGTGTGGAAAGTGCTAAAAGTGTTAGTGCTGCTGAGAAATCTGGAGTCTTTTATTAATGCCTGTATGAATGGCAAGATTGCTAGAGGGTTGGTACGAGTTGTAAGGAGGTGGCAAAGGCTGTTAGATATAGATTGTTAGGTTGATAGCGAGGTCGTTGTGTAGTACAGTAGTTAGCTATAGAAGTGGTGATGCTATATTGTTGTTGTTGTTGTGATAGGTGTAGAGAGTTGACGATTTCTTGAAGGCGGGGACGGTCGAGTTGCTTTGCTTGTTGTTAAGAATAGGGGGAATGAGCTGTAAAGTTTGTATTGATACTGGAGCAAGCCGATGCTTAATGATGGCGAGTTGTAGAGGTAATACTGGGGATATTCGGGAATTATTAGGGTATCCGAGGCTATAGAAGGCATATTTATATGCTGGTAATAGAAGAAAAGGGTAACGTCCTTGTTACTTGTGATAGGCTAGGGAAGTTATTGTTATTCCTCCCTTGTTTTATTTTGCTGGGTGGGAGGGTAGTATCTTTTGTAAGTAAAGTAAGCTTAAAGGTTTTATTGTGAAAGAAGTTTGAATGTTTTGAAAGTGGGGCGGCTATTGGAAGCTTCTGTTCTTGTTTTGAAGCGCGGTGATAAAGTTGTTAGAACGGTAAACTTGGTGCGCTTGGTTGTCTTAGTGAAAGAAGTTTGAGATATTTTAGTCTTTCGTTTTGCGTTTGATCTACTACGATTTAATCAAACGGTACTTGAAAGAAGTTTGGGGGTATTTTGAAGCTTTTGGTTACTGTGAGCGTAAGGTTATAAGTTGTTAAGGAGGGCGAGTTCGTGAAGCGCGTCGTTGTTGTTGTTTTTGGAGGGGTGTTAAAGGGTGGAAGTTCGAGGAGGACGGTCGAGTTGAGTGTTTGTTTTGGGAGCGCTAAGTTCGCGATGATAGCGTAAATAGAGTGTCGTTTAGCTTACTACAACTTAGTTGGAAGAGGGGATCCTTATTTTTACTATGTTTACTACGATTTAGTATGGTAGTGTTATTGTTTTGAGAAATTGCTTGGGCGGAAGTGCGTTTGATGGAGGTGTTGTCGGTTTTGTAACGAGGTGCTTTATTCAATGCTTTGGCATATCGTTTTAAAGTTAATTTGGTAATTTGTTGGTAATTTTGCTGTTTTACTATGACGTTATATTCGTTCTTCGTTTGGGCTATACCTTAATGGCTAAGCTAGATTGTACTTGAGAGTAATGTAGTGATTTAGTTCGTGGGCAATGGGCCTATTACGATTTAGTGTATTGCTTGGAGGTTGGATCTGGTAATTTGTTGTTGTAGTCAATTTAATAAAGAGGACTTGTAATAATAAATTGGAGGGATCGTTTGAGTAATTGTTGTTTAGTATTGGCTATATTGGTTCCTCGTCTGGACTACGACTTTAACGGTAGAGTTAAATTGTATTTGAGAGTGGTGATAATAGAGGTTGTCGATCGACGTATAGTCGGCGAAGATTGTGGTAATAAATAGTAAGATCGCTTAAGGAACGGCGGGTTATTGTAACCGTATAGTTGTAGCTACTATTTAATACGAGGATTTACAAAGAATATTAGATATAGGGCGCTATGGGATGAAGCTAGTATATTTGTTGTATTTTAAGTAATGATAATGAGAAGAAGAGGAAGGTCTGGAAGCTAGAGTATAGCCGAGTCTTAAGTACTAGGCTGGCAATAAAGGTTCTAAGAACCTTTGTCCCAAGCCTAGCAACCAGAACCTCTATAACTAAACTAGACTATTCTACAAGGTGCTGGAAACCCCTGGTTTCCTGTATCAAACCGTTTGTAGGCATCTTTACTATCTCTAAATACTTAATCTTAATAGTCCTAATTGTAACCTCTTATTTGAGCCAATACTTATAAATATCTACGTACTTTAATTTAATTATTAGTTTAGAAGCCTCGACCGTTACTACCCTAATCGTCTACTTATTATTATAATCGATAGTAAGGATAGGGTCTACGAATTTTACAATTAAGCTTCGTATTAAACGTATTATAAATATAATTTCTTTTACTACGTTTATAAATTCTACTTCAATCGTGAATATAACTATAGTTATTTATTTAGTAGCTCCCTAATATACTAAATTGCTAAAGAGTTTAATTATAAAGTCTTATAAACTCTTTCAATTTATAGAATTATTCATAAGGGACGTATTTAACGCAATTCATAAGGTGTCTTCGCTTCTATAATATAACGCTATATTTATAGTAGCGTATAAGTAGTATAATATTTTATCTATAACCTTATAATAATTTAGATAGGGTTATAATTATACTTAGCAAAGCGGTCTATAATAAAAGTAATATCCGGTCGCGTTATAATTATTACGTAAAGAATAGAGCCGATTTTAATTTAATATTAGTATATTAATTTATTAAAAGCTTTATTTTTGAAGGGTATAAGTTCGATATTAATTATAGGTAGTTATATTACTTTTTTATTATTTATAAAGCGGTATATTTTCTACAAGTATAATTGTTAAAATAATTAAATCTTTTATACTCTATAGTCTTATATAATTTTAATATTTAAGAATTATTATAATTTGTTATTTTTAATAAAATAGTATTACTATTTAAAGTTATTTATATACTTATGGGCTTCTTTACTTTTATAACGGTAGAAGGTAAAGATAATATTATTAATAAAATAGAAAACGAGTACGCTATTATTAATAAGAATATAGGGTTCCTTTAGGACTATTTTAAAATTTAGAATAGTAAACGTATTAGTAAATTCGCGTTACTAGAAAAGCGGAGAACGCTATGATTCTCATAACGCCGTTATAATTTTTAAGACTTTATTTAGTATTTAGTATCTTGGAGGTATACGTATATAAGTTTCCTTGTTTATATAAGCGTTAATAAAGGTATTAACGGCGTCGTATTAAATGACTTCGAAGTTAAAGCGTATAATTATAGCGATAAAGGTACAGAAGGATTGGCCAGCGAATATAAAAATATACGTTTTTTATCCTACTTCCTTCTTTTATTAATCTTTACGTATAATGAAACGTATTTTAACTTTATTAAATTTATTATTTTTAAAGAATTTATACGTATATACTTATATATAATCGAGTAATTACTTCCCCTTAATCCTTAATTCGCCCCTATCGACTTCTATTTAAATTTTTATTTCTTTATAGTTATTAAAATAGATTTATTCTATTTCTTTAAAGAGGTTTCTAAAAAGGTAGTAATTAAAAAATTTGTAATTCTTTAGTAGTAGTAGTAATTTTTAACGGTAAAGAGTCTAAAATTTATTTATAAAGACGAGAAAATCAAATTCCTTTTGGGTAATAATTTTGTCTTTTTAGGAAAAGCGCTCTAATTCTACTTTTATAATTATTTTACTATAGTATTTAACCGTAAGTTAGTAAAATCTTCCTACGTTGAATAGGGCCTTCTATCATTCAAAACTGTAATTGTTAATTATTAGATTGTACGGTTATGTAAATATAGAGAATATAGGTTAATCGCTGTATTAATTGAGTGTGTGGAGTAGAAAAACTATATATATAAATTGGGAGATCCT